CTGACCTCAGAGGAATTACCTGAAATGGAATAAAATAAGATAACATTTATTCCATGTAAGAGTGCAGAGCTGCAGTGCCTGTAAGCCGATATAGGAACTGGTTTCTGCAGAAGGAGGTAATCAAGTATCCGTGGCTGCCTGCTCCTGCTGCTTCCCTATAGCTGAAACTGCTTCTCACTAGTCTCTGCACCCAGCTGTAGGAGCTAAACCAGTAGAGAGCTAGCCCTACAAAAAAGGGCCTGTCTAAATCCCTGGCTTACCGTCGTCACCATCAAATGACAGTGTTCATGCAAGCAAGGGATGAAAGAGTGTGGGAAAAGGGACAAGGGGTCTTCTTTTTCTTCCAGTAGCTGTTAGTCATTAGCCTGGTTTAGGTGTATCACTCAGTTGTGCCAGTGTCTTTGCGGAGAGCATATAATAGAACCTTTTTGATGTTTTTTTCCACTGTTTGTACGTGGCTACTGCAATGATGGGGAACCTGAGGACAGAAACACCCCATGACTTTATTTCACTTGGTCCATGGCAACATGACTTCTTCCTCTCTGTTAATGGCCAGTGTATGTGTTAATGCATGACCTGTGCAACTTTCAGGAAAGAAAAGGTTCAAACAGCCAAGCAAATGGGTGTCAGAATTGAACATGAATGTTTAAGTGGCAAGGTTAGGAAATGGTGATCATAACAAACAATGGAATTCAGAAGACTTCCCTTGATTTAATGCTAGGTTTGTGTATAACACTGTATCTACACTAAATACGTTATATTCACATTTGTGAGTTGCAAAATAATAATCTTGAACAGTAACTTGCCTTCTTGCCTGGAACCACCTTCCCACAGAGGTAAAGGAGTAAGGGCCATAACTTAGTGCCAGATGCACTGTGCAAATATGACTGAAATTTCATTCACCTGAAGAAATTTAAAGTTGCCATGAAGGAACAAGAACAGGTAGAATTTATATATATTTAAAGGTCTTTGCTGTGTATGTTTAAGCGTACTCTTTAAGTGCATTCAATTTTACGTAAAATGAGGAATAATAATTACTTAGCTTTATTTTTTCCAGGAGCTTGATTATAAACACTTACATTTTTGGTGTACCGGTATCATACTGATTTATGAGACAGCTATTGATGATTTCACTACATGAAAAATGATATAAAAGTGGCAGGTTAATTACAGGATATACCGTTAATGGGTGAGATAGGGTTATGTCTGTTTTCCAAGTTACGCTCTCATCATAGTGTTACATCTTCTGGAACATAATATATACATATTTTATGTTATGCATAATCATCAGGAAAACTTCACAGTCTGTACACATTGATATCTCTGAGTCTCTTCAGTCCTTCTTCACATTGATTTCAGGAAGGATTACTTGTATTAGCAGAGAATGCAGAACTGAGTGTTTGCTGTGGTTTTGAATAATGAATTCCTGTAGGATTCCAGAAATGACATTCAGTTCCTCAAACATTTTCTGTAAAGCAAGCAGCATACTTTGAAGTCTGTGCTAGGAGAAAAAGAAACAAAACCAAAACGGAAATCTCCTTGTGATGATTTTGGCTGGGGTAGAGTTAATTTTCTTCACAGTAGCTAGTATGGGGCTATGTGTTGGATTTGTGCTGGAAACAGTGTTGATAATACAGGGATGTTTTCATTGTTGCTGAGCAGTGCTTACACAGAGTCAAGGCCTTTTCTGCTTCTCACCCCACCCCACCAGTCAGTGGGCTGGGGGTGCACTAGAAGTTGGGAGGGGACACAGCTGGGACTGCTGACCCCAACTGACCAAAGGGATATTCCATACCATATGATGTCATGCTTAGCATATAAAGCTGGGGGAAGAAGAAGGAAGGGGGGGACATTCGGAGTGATGGCGATTGTCTTCCCAAATAACGATTACGTGTGATGGAGCCCTGCTTTCCTGGAGATGGCTGAACACCTGCCTGCCGATGGGAAGTAGTGAATGAATTCCTTGTTTTGCTTTGCTTTACCTGTGAAACTGTCTTTATCTCAGCCCATGAGTTTTCTCATTTTCAGTCTTCTAATTCTCTCCCCCATCCCACTGGGGGGGAGTGAGCAAATGGCTGTGTGGGGCTTAGTTGCTGGCTGGGGTTAAACCACGACACTCCTAAAGTACTATCCTCCTTTCGTGGAATGGTTCAGTGGCTTAATGAGGTTAATTTGTATTAGGTTGTGGGAAATCCTTTATCTACTGTATAGAGGCTTTCGTTTCACATGAATATGACAGATACTGTACTTACTGCACTGGAACTTAATTATTTGATAGCATAAGGAGCTGAAATCCCTACATTCCCTCTCAAGAAATATTCATTGCATGTTCTAGATGGTAAATAGAAACTAGAGGATGGTTGGCCTACGTTTTCAATGTTTGAAATATCTTTGTATACTTTTCTAGGTTGTTTTGGTTTTATACCCAGAAAATTTCAAAGCAGCTTTATTAAAGATTCCCCAAAATACTATCAATAGTATGTGATTATTTTTTGTTCTCTCCCATTTTCACATCTTTTCACCCTTTGAAATGCTTTTCTGTATTGTACATGAATGTAAGTGACCGTTTCATTTAATTACACTCTTTTACCATAAAAGTCTTAAAATGCCTGTTTTTCTCTCCCTAATTACTACAAACCAAGTCTTTCAAAAGTTTTGTTTCAGTATGAACATTTCCCTCACAGCATTTTACAACAGCTTTTTTAACTGGCTGCCGTTCCATATGGCTATTGGTGCACATTGTACTTTATTTTCTCTTAGCAGGTATATTATGGCATTTCTGTAGACCTGGTAGAGCTGTGTAAAGCTATTTAATAAGAGCGTGAGGATGACAACATTTCAGGATCAGTGATACACATCAGAATACAAATATGGACTGAAAACTAATATACTGAAAAATTAAGTGGGACAAAGTTCACATCGTACCACGAAATTTACTTTCTTTTTTAGACTCAGTGTCTGGGTTTTTTATGTACCTATCATAAAATACAAATAAATGAATTTGTGTTAACATGTGTGGGTATAAGATGTGTAATTGCCTATCAAAATAAAAAATAATGTGAACTTACAAAAGCGGCATGGTTTTGTTCTACTATATATTATACATTAGAAATAGATCCTAGAATAATTTTTTAACATATTCACAAATAAAAAAACTTATAACAGTTTTATTGAGAAAAATGAATGTATTTATTTACATTGTTTTATTGGCATATATACCAGTGAAATTGTTTGAAAAATAATTAAAAATAATTTTTACAACAGACTGAACTGGTAGCTGTAAAAATACTTGCTCATCATCAAAGGTATGAAAATTCCAGAGACTGCAAAGTTCACACAGAGAGTATGAACTGCTTTCCTCATCCTCTATTGAATTACAAGTGATAAATAGTTAAAAAACAAAGAAAAGCATTTTTATGCAAAACCATTTTTTTTTCTCCTAGATTTCTGATTTATGTGTAACATTTTGGTGTATCACAATATGATGGATCATGGGTTAATTGTTCGCATTGTGTTATATCATTTCAGCTGTAGTACAGCATCATGTGATAAAGTATAATCTAACCTGACATAATATGATGCAGTGAATGACAACAAAGATCACAGACTGTTCAGTGGACTTTGTTCTACTGAAAAACACATAATTGCCTGCATGAAATGTTTAGTAGTTTATGTTTTGTTGATGAAGACCCAGAAGTCTAATTGCTGCCTGTGGCTTTTGCCTCTAGGCACATTCTTGGGGTCCATAGCCTACATCAAGTTTGTTTTCCTTCCTCAGCCCTTTTGGGAGCTGATACTCTGCAATAACAACTGACTGGAGCCAGGGATCAGTGTTGGGCTCCTGAAAGCCTATTAGTAGGGCCTTCTCCTTGTGGAAGCTGTCATTTATTGTTTGCCATTAGGGATATAAAAGGTAGCTGAAGTGTTCAGTACATAGGCTTTGCATAAAGCATACAAAAAGTTATACAGCAGAAAAAATAGAGGACTTAGGGGTACTGTTAAAACACATATTGCTTTGCATAATTAATATTCCTCCCTGTACAAGGTTGTAGGTCAATACCAGCTAAAAGTTCAGATTTCTTTCTCTCTTCCTTCTGATGGAATTGAACTATCTCCAGAAATATCTGGTCTTGTATCAATCACCACTGAAAGTTCAGTTAAAATGACTTTTTCTGAACTCCAGATCCTTTGGTAACTGGCTGCTGAACCAGAAAGGGTCGTTTGGTAGTTCTCTTCTTACCAAATTGGTCCTCTCCTAGGACTCCAGTAGCATGATTCTGGTGATCAGTTAGAGCAGCATGGGTGGGGGTGATGGGTACTGGATATGGGATAATGAAGATTGTCCTGTTGCCTCCCCATGTTTGAAAAATTTGGTTCCCCGTGTTCCCAGACTTTCTTTGCAGTGCCAAGCAGAAAGATTTAAAATGTGATTCCTTAGTAGATTTTATTTCTGGGTTTTGTTTGAGGGCTGTCCCTGTATCCTGCCAGTTCTTCTCTGTCCATCTGTAGGAAGGTTTTGGGATATCATATCAAGAACTGCATTTGCCCTGGACATAAAGTCTGGAGATATAGATTCTGAAAACATATGCATGTATGGGTATTTTAACATTGATACACTTCCATTCCAAGATTTCTCCCTTAGAGAAAAGAAAAAAGTATCTTGGTAGAGATACACAGCTGTTTATGGGAGTTCAGAAATTAATATAGTTTCTAGGTTAGTTTTATAATGTTTCTGCTTCCTGCTTCACTGGAACAGTCCCATATGCAGTCTTCTCCAATTGTTCTTTAGCCAGTGTTTTCTGCCTGAGATAGTTATACTACATTTGGAAAAGAAACCAGCTTTACATTCTAGTGTTAGTACCATTGTAATTCGAGCTTCATGCATGGCAGATTGCCTTAAGAGCCAAGTTTAATGCATTTCTAATTAAAAAAAAAACCCAACAAATGGTATGATACTACCTCGCAATGTTATCAAATTGCTCATCTTCTTATTTTCACAGCTCACCATGTTAAAACTGGGACCTGTGAAGTGGTGGCGCTCCACAGATGTTGCAATAAGAACAAGATAGAAGAAAGATCACAGACGGTGAAGTGCTCCTGCTTCCCTGGGCAGGTAGCAGGTACCACCCGGGCAGCTCCTTCTTGTGTTGATGGTGCGACTACTCTATTGCTTCCTTTCGTTACATGTTCCTAGGGGGTTTTGCTCGCTTAATGTCATCACTGAGAACCACACCATTACAGTTAGCTATTTAAAATAAGAGTAGGAAGCCTTCTGCCTTTTGAAGGGCATGCCCAAGGTGAATGGGAGGAAGATGGGAAAAATGAATTATTTGCTGTTACTCTGTGGAAATGCTAAGCAAAATTATTAGATGCCAGTGAAAGAGACCTCTTGAGAAGCTAAATTTGATCTAACTAGCAGAGTGCCCTCGGAGTTGTATGAAAATCACTTAAGTAAAAGTGTTTTATATTTATTTTTATCATACAGGAAAAAACAAGCAAACAAACAGAACACAGTTCTGGCTGTTTTTTAGTCTTTTCAGACCAACACTATTTTTCCTATTCACAGTACAATATTAATGCTTTACTTAACAAATCTGGCATAGGCTCATATGTTTTATTCGGGAAAATACTAGCTGATTTTTCACATCTCTTTCTCTGAAAGAGGAGCAGGACGGATTCACCCTTTACATGATCTCTTTACTGTTGATATGTTGTTGGCTGTCAGAGAAGCGTAAGTATGTCATCATTGGGGAATAATTTTAATCAGGCTGTGTTAGACTATATAGTAGATCAGGAAAAATACACTACCTCAAAAGAAGATATTCTGCTTAAAACTTTGAAATCTGGCTGAGCAGGAAAAAATGAGGGTTGGAAAGAAATGCTGTGAAATTAGTTCCTGAACTGCAGTAAATTAGAAATAAACCACAGTAAAGAGATTGACTTTGAAGCACGTAGCACCTTGTGCAAATTGAGACCTAATTTCTTATGAAGATTCTGAGCTGGCTGAAAATCACAGACTAGCTGTCAGTCAATATATTTCTAACATTTTCCTGGAAAATAAAAGAAATGTAGCAACATAATGACACATTAAAGTGTGCATTTCAACAAAATGTGTTTGTGTTCCTCTCTTGTAGCTTCAATAGTGGAGCAGAAATGGTGGTGCCACATGCAACCATGTCTTGAAGGGGAGGAATGTAAAGTCCTTCCAGATCGTAAGGGATGGAGCTGTTCCTCTGGGAATAAAGTGAAAACAACTAGGGTAGGTATGATACCAACCTTACATGTTACCAACAGGTGAAAAAAAAAAAAATTGCACAGGAAACGGGATGCACATAGAAGACATCAGCTGAGAAGACTGAAGAAGTGTGGGAAGAGAGTCATACTGGGATTGGACTTCCTGGTCCTGCACACTTTTCTCAGCACACTTTGCAATTGCTTGAACATGGTAAGCAGTGTGCCAGACCTTCTCAGGTAAGCAGTGGAGATAGTAGAGCTGACCCCTTTTTCAGCTACCAGCAGTCATCAAATGTATTATAATCTGATATGTATTTCTCTCTGAAACCAGTTGCACAGTCTATACACCCTGCTAAGCTCTTCATTCACAGGATAGCATACAAGTGCATTTTTATCAATAACATGGAATTACCATGTTTCTACATAGAAACTGCTGAGTACGGTAAGCATTTGATGTGTCATGACAGTATGACCTTCTGGTTCTTTCTGTCTTGTATGACTGGGATTTACTAAAAAATTTTGACAGAGTTTCAGTGAGTTCCTTTTCTCCATTTGACACTTTTTATATTATTGGTTCAAAATTGCATTAACAGAAATAGATCATATATATAATTCATCATATACAATGCCTGAAAACAAAGTAAGCCTGCTGTCGTCTCAGATTTTAGCAGCTAACAGAAAGAGAAGAATAACAAATTCTTCAGATAAGCATTAAACACTCAAACTTCCTGAAACTACAGTGTTGTATCTCTATAGGGTCAACACAGTTCTTCATCAACATAAAACAGATTAAAACACACTCTGAAGTCACACATGCATGTGTGTAAACATAAACACCTTCACCCCTACACCCCACCACACATACTGATGATTGGTTTTCCTTGTAAGTATTTAGTAATTGTTTGCAGTGTCAGGCCATAATTTGCTAGTGTGGTGTTTACTCTATGCAGGTGTTTGAGTGTCTATGTCATTTGATTGAAAACCTCCTTGCATAAGCACTAAATTTCTGGTACACCTTGGTGGTAGTGAAATGTAGTATGTACTAAGTGAATTATATTCCTTCTGTTCTGCAGAGAGCTCTACATGTCTCAGTTTCTGTATGTATGTCTTTAAAACATTTTGACATTCTTTGAAGGAAGGATACTTCCTAAATGTTTGATATACAATTACACTCCTGAGTCCTCTTTCAAATGTGTTTCTTCTGAAGCTGACCTTGCTTGAATGCTGCCCACACTTAACTTTGTACATGCCAATGCAAATCTGATTATATGCATATAAAACGTGTAGCTCCAAAAGGAGCTAGATAGAATTGAATAATAGTAATAGAAATAGAAAAGAGTTATGTGTGTGTGTGTGTTTTGAAATTTGTCCTGGCTACTACTACATGGCACTATTAATGTTAAAGAACGCATGCCATTTTATATTTAATGTGAGTGTTTAACAAGCAGTAAGTAAAAATGTGTGTCTGGATTACGTTTCTGTAGGAAAAAAGAGGTCACAAAAAGGGGAGATATCAATTAGAATCCCCTTGGGGAGATTTCTTCCTAACATTTTGTCAGAAGATAGTTTTTTCTACATTGGTCAAGGTTATGAAGTTCTGTCCACTGTTAGGACAGAACAGAAGCCCAAGGCTCTTGTCCTCAAGAGCTTATGCCTCTGTTGCAGACTCATAGGTCTGGTTCTTTGCAGGAGTTGGACTTTTCTTGTCCTCCATGGATGGTGGCAATCCTCAGGTCTCATTTCATACCTCTTCAGAAATGAAGCTATGAAAAAGCCAGTCCTTTTCTCTATTTGCCATCATACACACTGATTCAGTACAATGGTTACCATAACCTGCTTGCAGACCTACCACCACTAAATGGAAAATACTAATCCCCTTAAATCCCCCACTATTTGTTCTGCCTTCTAGTTTGTCCAGATATTATATGTTTGCCCCTTCTTCCTTCATTTCCCACACAGCTGCAAAGCTGTTTTGAGACAATAGCAAGCTTGAATTCAAATTTCTGACAGAGAGTTGGTCTCAGTTACTGAAACCAGGTGGCACGTGAATGAAGGTCTCTGTCTTTCCAGACACAGGAGGCTGAGATTTTAACAGCTGTCATTCTGATGCCCAGAAAAATATACATTGCTCTTGGAAATGTGAGTGATTCTTTGTGTTAAGAGAGTAACTTATTATCAAAAAGCAAGTACTTTTCCCTAATATGTAGTGACTACAATATTTTTGTAGCTCCTCTTTCTGCTACCCCAAACCTATATAAATAAAAGGAAAAATTCTAAAGTGCTCTGTGGTTTCAAAACCCCCTATTTTGAGAAAAATAAAAAGAACTGTACAGATAGTCAGTATTAAGAAGTCATGAATAATAAGTTTCTGATTGTCGAATGAAGTAACCCATATGTGATTATCATGTATAATGTAAAAGCATAACGAAACAAAGGGAACTGAACAGCTTGGGTGATTTAAGTGTATTGCAGAAAAGCCTTGTGAAGGCTTTCCTGAAAGGTCTAAGAAAGTCTATATTCACCTCCAAACATTTTCTGTAAGTTTGCCTCCTTCGTGTGCAGAAAAAGTAACCCAATTAACTGCTGAAGTACTACTTTCTCTTCTACAGGATACCAAGTTCAAAAGCAGCACCTACGTTTCCACATCTCAAGCTGTTAATAATTAAGCATTACGTTAGAGATAAAACTAGTGGAGGAAGGAGGTATTTTGCTAGTCCACCTCTGTTAACATATTTAATCACACTGTTGTAAAAAATGATGATACCAACTTCTTAATACTTATGGTATCAGTCACTAAGCAAAAAGGCCAAGTGAATAATGGGAGAAAACTAATTGATTTTTAAAAATGTGGTCTACTTGAGGTTTTGCGTTTTGTTCAGATATGGGGATCTAATAAGGTAATACATGAATAATGAATTAGAAATAGCATGAAAGTTATGGTACTCAGAATTCAAATGTTAAGAAAAGTCAGGTGGAAATAATTTACCTTCAGAATGCAAAAACGAGTATTATGGAAAAATTAAACTGTTTTTGCTAATTTGTCTGCATATTAGTGGGAGGGGGCTGACATTGGAGTTAACCATGGAAAAGGAATGAATATGGAGGGGAAAGTGTGTATGAATAAGCTGAGTACTGAGTTAACTTGTGCTGGTTTAGAATTGACTATTTTGGGTCTATGTAGCCTGCAGGAGGGGAAAGGGAAAAAAGTCAATAACAATTTAGCTGAAACAGTAATTTTTTTGACTTCATATAAAGAAATGCGTGTTTTTGTTCCTGAGCATTATACCACAACAAAAGAGGATGTTCAGGAACACATCAGGAGAATTATTAAGTGATTATGTGCATAGCTGAGATTTACCAGGCACATTGTGGCATTCCCCTCCAGACTGAGAAACTGTTGTGAAAGGAAGCAAGTGAATATTTTTCTATATGGCTAGCCTCAATGTTTTGATAAATAAACACAAAAATTTTGTCACGTTACCCTCTTTAAATGATGACAAAAGTGTTAAAAAAAGGAAAAATCCAAAGAATTTTTTTTACCTTTGAAATATTTTTTCTTCTTACAGCCTTTTTCTAATATAATGATTTTCATTCAAAAAGCTCTCTTGGTTTTGCTTCCTTTCCTTTTTGCAAAATAAGAGAAATGTCTGTTTAAAACAGGGGAATTTTCCCATCAGTTGAAAACTCCAAAATATAGCAGTATTATGTATAAAATTGACAATGACATTAAAAAAAATGCTATGAGTGTGTAGGAAACAAAGCAGCCCTTTACAAAGACTGGAAAACAACATTTTGCAGTCAGATAAGAGCTAAGGAGAAAGAATTTCATATTTCTTTCAGTTATGGGGTGTATTCCATACCAGAGGTCTCTGGATAGGGGCTTTTCAAGTGCAGATCCAGACGTCAGGCTTTACTTGTATTTTTAAGAACAGTACATTGTCCGTTATCATTATAATCGAGGCTGACTTTAAATAAGAGCACCAGAAGCTGCATGTAACCTGTATGAAAGTGCATGCTGCAATGCCTCCTGGGTCCCAGTTCCCCAGGCATCCACCCTGGGACTAGCTTGGAGCATGTCATGGCTCCTGGGCAGCCCGTAAACCCATGTGTCTTTCCTGCAGAAACTAGGGCACAGGAACGCAGGTAAAGGGGTGCATCCTGGGTCTCATCTTGAGATCCTGGATCTGCGACATGACTCAAGAAGTGTGCCCTTGTGCCCAGGAGTGGGGAAGTGTCCCTGGGCTGATATTTTATGAAGATGTAGGGAAATATGCATTGATATTTTTCATGTGAAATAGACTAGACTAGACTAGACTATTTCAGTTGGAAGGGACCTACAACGATCATCTAGTCCAACTGCCTGACCAATTCAGGGCTGACCAAAAGTTAAAGCATGTTGTTAAGGGCATTGTCCAAATGCCTCTTAAACACTGACAGGCTTGGGGCATCGACCACCTCTCCAGGAAGCCTGTTCCAGTGTTTGACCACCCTCTTGGTAAAGAAATGCTTCCTAATGTCCAGTCTAAACCTCCCCTGGCGCAGCTTTGAACCATTGTGCAGTAATGAAATAGTACCTTGTCCTTAAGCTTTTAGTTTGATTTGGTAGAATTGCTTGTGGAATAAGGCATAGTTTAATGCTAAGTACTAAGTTCTGGTTAAAATATGTGGAGTGGAATTTGCTGGACTTTGCTGGGGCTAGGACTCTCTAGAGTGAGATGACTAGCCTAAGCTCTAGGCTGTCTTTTTAGTATCGGAGAGAATTGTTCAATTCCAGAGGACAATTCATTTTGTCCTAAGATAAGTCAGATGAATTATCTTCTGGAGGTGTTTATGTTTCCCTAATAACTCTAAAGGGAAGCTATGATGACTAGCTTAGCGCCTCACATTTAGATACTTAATGTTGAATAGAAAGATGCTGACTCGGAGGCTTTACTCTCTTTGGTGTGGTCTTCAATAGGAAGATGATCAAAAAAGCCCCTTCATTCTTTGTCAGTTTGGGAAGCTTTGGACTTTGGCCACTATGAA